TCCTAAGAAACCAAGGCAGAATAGCCCCCAAAGGGTGGCACATCAGGCCTGTGTGTGGTCCCTAGTGGGTTCAAAGACAGGTGGACTTTACCTCCTGCCACTCAGAGGACTAGCATCCCTGAGGTGCAGTTTATCTGCATCTTCACCTGGCTTCTGCAGAATGGGAGAAGCGGTTTGGTTTCATGGAGCAAGTCCAACCCTGAGGCTGGTAACCGAGGCTGGGAAAGATAGACAAAAGGACGGGGTGATGACTTTTACTGGGGAACTTATAGTTAGGGCCCACTTGCCCCCTTGGGAGGCCACTGAGTGCCTGTGTGCCCCTGTAGGTCAGATCATCCGGGTTCTCAACAGGGCCGAGAAAGAGGAAATTGAGGATGAATATATAGGTGAGTGACCACCCCATTGCCTACTGTGTGCATCTTTTAGGGGTGAGGATGCTTATCTGCCAGGCTGGTTCCTGGAACTCTCCCTAGGAAAGAGCTACCCTGCCTTCTTCCCTAGAGTACCAGTGTCCCCAGCTCCTCCCCTCAAGAGTCTCATCACAGACTCATATTATTGTGTGGGAACTTTTGTGTCTCACTGTCCCTGAGACATGTCCCCTACACACTGTGTCTTTCTCTTCTATTCATGACAGAGTGTACCTCCCCACCCCGCGCCAGTATGGCTCTGTCCTGGGCTGCAGTTCTGCTGCAGGGTGGGGGTGGGGGGGGTCAGAGAACTTCACATAGAATGGAGGAGGAAGGTAGAGATAGGAGAGGCAAGTAGGACCAAAAAAGAAGCTGCCTTGTGTCTCCCTGAGCCAGGGGCTCTTGGGGGTCTTGATCGCAATGGACAGTGTGGACTTCTAGAAGACATCTTTGCTTATATTGTAAAAGTTTCCCTCTTCCTCCAAGCAGTGCCAGGGTCCTGCTGCCTCGCCTGGCCCCGTTCCTCTGCTCACTGTGCCACCCCCTGTATGATCTGTTACAGCCTTCAGGTACATGCAGAGAGACCCTGACCCCATAGTCAGCTGCCTTACCGTCCAGACTATCTACATCCTCGAAGCCAAGGAGCCGGTAACTCCAGCTAAGACCCCTTCATCCTGCCTCTACATAAGGAGGTTCCTAAGGAGATACCACTGAGCCTGCATGCTAGGGTCCAAGATGAAGGCTTGCCACCAACACTGTGACAGCGGGCTACCTTCTGAGTCTTGCACTAGAAATGGTGTGTCCCTGTAGAACTCTGATAATAAAAAGAGAAAGCATTCATTTTTGTGCAGTTAGATATCAATCTGTGGTCACGAGCTGCTGTGTGTGTGTGTGTGTGTGTGTGTGTGTGTGTGTGTGTGTGTGTGAAATCATCTAGGACAGGCTGGCTTCTCTGGTGCTGCTGCCCATGGCCACTCTTATTCAGTCACGTGGTCTAAGCACTTTTCTTTGCATGCTGGGCATGAGACACATAAGGTAACTAGAATTCATTTGTACTAGCAGCTGTGTGTTTTGTTTTTACACAGGGTTTTGCCATGTGCCCGGGCTGGCCTCAAACTCATATTCTCCTGCCTTTGCCGCCTGAATGCTGGGATTATGGGTGTGTATCGCCGTAACCAGCCCTTTTTTTTAAAAAAAAAAAATTTATTTATTTATTTATTACAGATAGTGTTCAGCAAGCATGAATTCCTGCACAGCAGAAGAGGACAACAGATCTCACAGATGGTTGTGAGCCACCAGGTGGTTGCTGGGAATTGAACTCAGGACCTCTGGAAGAGCAGTCAGTGCTCTTAACCTCTGAGTCATCTTTCTAGTCCCCCAGCTTTTTTTTTTTTTTTTTTTTTTGAGGTACTGTCTTGCTACATACCCCAGGCTGCTTTTGAGTTCTCCTAGTGGCTGGGCAGTATTCTTGCTGGTAAATAGCAGTGTCCCCCTGGCTAGTTGAAGCAGGAAAGTGATTTTTTTTTTCTCACAGAGAGTGTGGTTAGCTCTGTAAGACCACTCTATAAAAGTAGCATACAGCTGCCCCTGGGCACCGCCCAAACCACAGCCCAGAAGTATCCTTCCCCTAGCGTATTAAGATCAGAGCTCGCTCTTTCTTGTTGGAATCAGTCTTACTGACATCGGCACGACAGTGGGTCCTTGGGATGTTCTGGGTCCGTACAGGATCTTCTGTGGCTCCCATGGCCCCTCTCCCCTCACCATTCTTTCTCCTAAGTGACTTCAGTCACTGGGAAAAGCTTACAGGACAGCAACTTCCTAATACAAATGCAAGCTCCTTCAATGGCAGGCTTGGACTTGGCTGGAGTCCTGGCTTCACAGGTCCACGCTTTGAAGTTCCCAGTGGTCTCCTGCACACAAGCCTTCAGGGACCTGAGGTGCCCTCTCCTTTCGGGGCCTCCCTAGGCCCACATCTTCCTTGCATTATCTTGCAAGCTTACCTGCTTGCAAACAAGCCAAGGATGGCATTAAAGGTCCTGCTAATTTCTTCAGCCGCCAGGAGGCTTTTCTCACAGTTCCTGGCTCATCATTAGCTGCCCCCAGTTACCATGGGAAGCCTTCTGGGCTAACCACTTTATCCATAGGAGTATATACCCTGTGTATAAATAGAAATACTAAGACTCACTGACACCGATAGCTCCTTCCTTGCCCCCAAAGGATAAATGTGCCTTCACAAGCAAGGACAAACAGTATATCTTATATTAAAAATAAAATCAAACACAACAATCAGTAACAGCTGTTTGGGAAAAAAACCTCCTCCAGGACTGGGTGTTCCCACGTGTTGCTGCTTTCATTCACTTGAGTCAAACCAAGATATAGGTATAAAAGAGTGGGTTTCTGGAGCTCTTCTGTCCTGCTATCTCCTCAGCTAGTTCTGATGGCCTCTCTGGGCCTCGGTTCCCTCTGTGTATAAAATGAGGGATTTGGAAAAATATGTCTCTTGAGGTGCCTCCGGGCTTAGACAATGAATGGCATCAGCTTCTTAAGAGGGACTTAGTGTCTAGTGTCTGCTACACAGATGACCCAAGTCCATCCTCCCAGGACCCGCAGAAGAGAACAGAGTGTGGGGGTGCACGCACGTAACCCAAGCCCCGGGGCTGGCTGACCAGACTGAATCAGAACGCTTTCAACTCAGTGAGACCTATCTCAAAAAATAAGGGGGAGGCCAGGTATGGTGGCACTCGGGAAGGAAAGGCAGGCACAGCTCTGTGAGCTCAAGGCCAGCCTGGTCTACACAGTGAGTTCCAGGCTAGACAGGACTACATGGTGAGATCCCCATCTCAAGAAATCAGAAATCAATAAAATACAAATAAGTAAGTAAGCAAGGTGGAATGTGATTGAGGAAGACATCTGGCGTCAGCTTATGACTTCTGTATGCAGGCACACAGGCATGGGTACCTGCACACTAATGTGTAGGACAAACATGTGTACACACACAATTAAAATTATAAACTTTTTTTGAGATGGGGCTTCTCTGCATAGCCCTGGCTGTCCTCAAACTTACTCTGTAGACCAGGCTGGCCTTAAACTCAGGGATCAACCTGCCTCTGCCTTCCAGGTGCTGGGAGTAAAGGCGTGCACCACAGCCTGCAGACTTTAAATAAACTTTTAGAAAGTCCAGCCAGTGTTCTTGACTGAGCCATCATCTCTCTAGTCCCCTGTATTTAAGAATCTCTTAACTTTGGGCCCATGGCCAAGACTATTGATGTTCCCACAGGGTGACCTGAATTTTGCAAATCATTGCTGCCAACCCTCTGGGGGATGAAGGGAGGAGTTAGCGCAAGCAGGAAGCTACAGAAACCCCTCTCAGTTTCATCTATGTGCCCAGCCCAGTGGCAGCTGGCCACACCCAGTTGTCACTTCCCACAACACACAATGGGCTGCGTCTGTCTGTGGAGTAGTAGAATAGGATCTTATGTAAAACATGCGCTTTGGGGAGCAAGGGTGAGGCAGGAGGCTGGCATGGGGTGGAGCTCAATTGCCTAGCCAAAATCAATGATCTTCAGGAAGCCAACCCGTTCTCCAAGGCAGAAGGCTCTGTGCCTGCCCCATAGGCTGGGGACACGGGGCAGGAATGGTCACTGTGTTTCCCTTTGTGGCTAAGGGTCCCCTCCCACTAGTTCCTCTGCTGGAAGAGAAGAAGCCTCTTCGGAATTCCTCCCCACCCCCCAAACTCCGGCTCGCTGGGTCACTATGAGCAACAGGGACTTGTGTGGGTTCAGAAACCACTTGGTTTTCCTTTTGGGAAACAGAGCAACAAAAGTTGATCTTGGCTTCCTGGCTGTATAGGAGGCTTCCTAATCATAGATGGCATTAAGGAGTGGGCCAGACACACCGGAGTGTACAGAGAGACAGACAGATGACAACACAGAATGGCTGGGAGGGTAAACCAGTGGCAGGTCACATGCTTAGCATGCATAAGATGCTGGGTTCCATTCCAAGGGTGGTGGAGAAGACAGCGTCCCGAAGACTGGAAAGCACCGACCTAGTAATAGCATCATGACCATCGCAGAGCTGGTTTGCTATATGAGCTTTTCAGTATGTGTACATTTCTGTCTTCTCTCCGCAAGTGGCAACGAAACAAAATATGTCCAGCCCGTGCCACACACAGGGAGTCCCGAGTCCTAGGGAAGGCTTGCAATATGTGAGTGACGGAAAGTGGGTGCTTTGGTGGTGCAGGCTGATCAAAGCCCAGCCCTGTCCTGGTGAGTCTCTCCATTCTGTGAATGTCCTCATTTCATAAAGAGGCCATCACCTAATACCAGGGATGATCTAGCAAAGAATGCCCCTAACAGTAAGGACCCCAGTACTGGGTGTTCAGTCAGTGCTGGTGTCTGTTCTTGACCACCTGTACCTGCCTCGAACCCTGCAGGCCATAGAGGGCTGGGAGAAGAGAACATACTCCAAGGGACCATAAACTCATCATAGAGCATTGTTCTCCCATGGGGCCCAGTTACAAAGGCCAGCCTCATATACTTACCCAAAAACAACCTCCCACCCCTAAGAAAGCACCAGCAGCCACAGGTCAACAGACAATGGTCATTTGAGTTTTATTTATCTTAGAACACACATATCCAATTCCAGAACAGAAATGTACAACATGAGGCTTAAATAACTTTCATATCCTATGTACAGTCATCGGAAGAGGTACAAAGCATATACACACCTTGAGCTACCATGTCACGGGAGAGCGCATGAGCCAAGAGAGACCCCGCAGCTTGGGTAGGGGCAGCGGCTGGAAGAGCTGGGGGCAGGGCGGGGCACCAAGACATCAGTGGTCTTTTCTGGCTTTCAGCAGTACCGACTTTCCACTGTTTGACAAAGCCTTGAGGACACAGGATTGAAGGAGGAAGGAGGAGGCAAAGGAAGTCAGGTGGGTGCTGGAGATGAAGAGGGGTGGGCACCGGGGATGGAACAAAGATGTCAAAGAAACAGAACTTGCCCTGCAGAGTCTCTTGCACTTAAGGAGCAGTGAAGAGCCAGGAGTCAGGAGGGGACGGCTGGGCTCAGGAAGGCTCAGTGGAGTCATTGGCCATTCTTCTAAGCAGCAAGCAGTTTCCAACTTGAAAGGACAAAGGGACGGATGCCACAGGTTTGGGCCACATGACAGGATGGAATTCACCGCTCCTGCAGGGCAGGTTCTGCCCACACAGACCAACCAGGCTCAGCCAAGGGTGTGTGGCTGCACCCAGCCCAGAATCCAGGGGAGGTCCCCAGGAACTAGCAGGGTAGAACATAATGCCCCAATTGCACAGCAGCTTTCTGCTGCACCTCCACCACAATGAGCAGCACGAGGATGCCCCCGGGAGACAGCATCCTCCCCGCGTGTGTGCGTCTGTGCTTTAACCTGCCCTTTGCCCAAGCCTGCAGCTGGGGCGAGGGTGGGAGGCATCTTCCAGATCCATAGCTGTCCCTTTTCAAGTAGCTGATGGTGGCACTCTGACCACATCAAGGGCTGGGCTGGGTCAGCCTCTCATTCTTTGCCTTCTCTCCCTCCTTGGCAGGCTTTAGAGGCTGATTCAGGCACAGCCTTCCAGGACCTGGCCGCTGTGGGATCAAGTCTCTCCAACAAGTGCAAACACTGAACTGGTTAATACTGGAATGGGTCCTGACCCAGGATTGTGCAGAGAAGGCCCAAGTTCCATCCAGACGGAAGCCAATCAGCTTCGGAAGCATGGATGTGGACATTAGTTCAGGAGATGGGAGCCTGGGTCCAGGCTCTTCAGGCTCAGTATGGTGGGGTACAGCTATACGTGGGTTTTTATAGGTCTGGGGTATGGGGGTCTAGGGAGGGGCCCACAGCATACAGATATGGCCTGGGCCTCAAGTCTTAGGATGGGCACAAGAAGTGATATAAGTCCCAAAAGTACATGGGTTAGTCAGCCACAGGCATGGGCATCCCTAGTCTAACTTAAGACTCAGCCCATCTGCGAAAAGCCTCTTGGACCCATGTTTGCCTATATTGTCTACCCCGAGACCTGCTTTGTGCTCAAATCACAACCAGTTTGTGCTTCCAACACGTAGGACGCTTGTGCAATGAGTGGAGCTAGGGGCCTGCTCCTGGCTGTGTGCCTTGGACACCCCGAAAGAGTGGGAAGGGACACCAACATTCCCAGAACACAGCTCAGAATGACTCGGGGACAATGCGCTTAGAGCTCCAAAGGATTTCAAGTTTAGTCAATGACACTCGCTGGGACAGCATAGCAGCCCCGCCATGAGGTAGTGACCCATCAGAAATGGCGGAAGGGGCAATGACGGTGAGCACCTCTCGCGGGGCTGTAAGACCACACGCTTTGTACAAGAACTGGCCTTGCAGCTAGCTATACAGTACGGCACCCCAGGCTGGGGCAGCCCAGCCCATGGGGTCAGATAAGTCTCATGTGTTTCTGGAGTTTGTAAACACTCATGCAGATGGGTTCTGGGTTTTCTTACAGGACGTAAGGTCTAGGCTTTCCATTCAGGCGGAGAGGGGTGGAGGAGAAGACGTGGTCACTTCTGAGAGCTAAGGCAGTTTCTTAGCATGTTCAGGATGAGCAGAGGAAGGAGGATCTCTGGTCATTGCAGACAGACTGTCTAGGTTCCAGCTGACCAGCTTTCCAGGCGTATCATTCTGAATATCCACGTACCCAGACTTAACACCATGTCCGACAGGGGCCACCAACAGGCGGGATAATCTTAGTCTCCGATACAGCTCCGGGATGGCTCAGAGAGGGTCTGTCCTCAGCAGGGACTCTCCCATTGCAGGGCCACATGGACAGGTACCAGTGTACCCGGCCACAGAGAGAGAAGAGCCAAATGCAGATGTGCTATGCTAACTATCCAAAGTCCTCAAGTCACCATGTCCTCTGAACAGAGCTGGGGTTCACAGCTCCCGGAACGAGGCCAGGAAGCATGAGATCAGTGAAGCAATGGAGTAAGTGTGGACCAGTTTAAGGGCAGAGGAAGCCAGGGGTGAGGGATGGAGTGACCCCTCTCAAGGTCTAGACCTATAAATTTGGAGTTGTTCCTATAGGGGGCGCCAGACAGATTACACCTCATCCTTGCAGCTGAGTCCACAGCCCCGTGGGAGAAGCAAGGAAGGAGCATGAGCCTCCTCCTGCTAATCTAAAAGGGAGGGCCTTTGGCCCAGGCTGGTTTTAAGGCTTGAAAATCCGTTTCTAGAATAACTAAAGGAAAAGAAGCAGTGGGGGCTTCCTGTCCCCATGAGGGCTGAAACATAATTAGCTGATTAGGTTAGTAGCCTTACTACCCAAGCCGCTACCTAGTGGACAGTCTACCAATCTAGACCACATAGGACTCTAGGGAGCATGGGTTCCCTGGTCTTGGGCTGCTGGTCTTGGGTGGACTCTCTGACCTTCGGGGTTTGTGGGCACGAGGCCCATAAGGAAAAGACACATGTGGGCTGCAGGCATGGCTGGCATAAGGCTGCCCAGCATGATGCCAGGCCTCAGGATGGAGGAAGGCACTGCGGCATCAGGCGGCCTAGAGACCTGGACTATTCTAGAAGGTTTGCCGGGGTGGAGCAGAGCTGGGGCAAAGGCCAGAGCTGCAAAGGGTGGAAGAGGCCTTTCCCTCCTCTGCCCACCGAGCAGAGGGTGGGGCAGGGGGCTGGAGCGCCAAAGAGAAGACTCCCCCACCACGAGTGCAGGGGAGAAGATGGGAAGAAACTTCAAGTCAGTTTCCAGGAGGCAACAACAAAACATAAAAATAAAAAACAATAAGTTAGATTAATTGCAGTATTGCTGACCTCCCCAGAGGAACTGTCTAAGCAGCTCCACCGCGCCCTCAGCAGAGGATGCCCCAAGGAATGACTGGGCCCCATTGAGGTGGGTGGTTGGTGGCCATAGGGTTTTAGGGTCAGCTGCAGGACTCAGCTGCTTACATCTGGTTTCCATGGTTACCTGAGAACTACCTTGGTGGGCTCAGAGGCAGATGCAGTGGCTCCAGAGGTGGGGCTGGGAGACATGGAAGAGGCTAGCTCACTGGAGGATAGATGGGCAGGAGGGCAGGAGGACTTCTTCTCCCTCCCAGTGCCACCCTGGGCTGAGGGCCCGGAGGAAGGGCAGGGCTGCCTCAGCAGGAGACAGTGTGACCTGTTATGGGCAGGGCAAGGAACTGGGCGGGGGAAGGGATCGTGCCCTTTGGCTTCACAGCTTACTCCCTCCCCGGCCTCTCCTTTCTCAGGAGGCAGGGGAGGGACAGAGGGGCCAGTGAGAGGAAGCAGAGCAAGAGAAGGGCCACACCCTCTGTCCTCAGTGCACCTGGCTGGTCTGCTCAGGTCAGGCAACAGCTTCCCTTCCACGCCATGTGGACTGCCAGGTCCGAGGGTCTAGCCACCCTCAGTCCAAACTTCAAGGGTGGGCCACCGGTAGCCGTCGCATGCTCCAGAACTTCACTGTCAGGTCACTGGGGAGGACAGAGTGAGGATGCTCAGCCATTGACGTGAGCCCAGCCGGCTGCCCCCAAAAGTAAAGGCTGGGCAGACTCCCCACCTCCCTCGTGTACGGCTGGGCTAAGACAAACACTGCTCAGGAGCAGTGGGCACTGATGCACAGGGAAGGGTCTGGGCAAAGGGAGGACCCAGGACATGGTCTCCAAGACCCTGCAGGACTGGTGTCCTGGGCTTTCTCGTTGTTTTGTTTTGTCCAGGCCTCAATGCCTCCCCCTCTGCTCTCTGCTACCTAGGGTTCTGTCCCACTGCTCATGCTTGCAAGATGGGCTGTTGGTGCAATCTGTTGGGCCAGGCAGGGCACGGAGGGAGAATAAGAAGGTCAAGAGTAAAACAGTCTCATACCGTGAAGAAGCAGCTCAGATCGAGGTGGGGAAAGACAGGAAAAGGCAAGAGGGGAAGAATGAGAGAGGAAAGGGGAGGGCTGGAGAGGGGTCAGGGCAGGGTGGTGGCGCGGCCCTTTATGGCCAGGACTCGGCGAGGAAGGCAGGGGGTGAGTCCAGGGACGTAATTCCACAGCTTTACCCGGCAGTCACTATGGGGGGAGAGGTAGAGAGGCAGAGAGGAGAGGTAGGAAGAGATGGGAGGGGAGAGAAGGGACATGGTGGGGACAAGGAGAGAAAAGAAGAAACCGGGCTGAGTAGTGCCCCTGGGGCTGAGGACCTGGCACTGCCTGACGGGGTGGGGGCAGAGCTGCAGCTAAAGAAGCAGAGGTTTAAAAGTGGTAGGGCAAACCTTAGCTCCTGCATGGGTGAGAGAGAGAGAGATTGGGACTGCTGGAAGGATGAGTCCTGGCCCGGGGCCCAGGGGCTCCCTGATCCCTTGTCTAGTGCAGCACCCAGGACATTGGGAGCTTGGTGCTCAGTGAAGATGAACAGGAGGTTTAGAGAGAAGGGTTCTGTGGGGTTCTGCTGGGTGAATCGAATCTGTGGGGACAGCTGCACAGCCCTGTCACCATACTGACTCTGGGAAGAGGGAGGGGAACAAGAGGCCCTCCTGCCCGGCACCCACCTGGAGGCCGTGAAGATGTGCTTGCTGTTGGTGCAGATGGCGTTGATGGGGCTGTCGTGGCCCTTGATCTCACCAATGGGTGTGAAGTTGTCCACATTCCAGACCTTGATGAAGCCTGCCCGACAGGCGCTCAACAGCATGGGCCGGCCAGGAACATAGGCCAGGGCACACACCCAGTCCTTGTGAGCATTGGGGATTTGCTGTGGGAGGGTCAGGGCTAATAAGGTGTAGAGAAGGGAGGGGGCCTGCTCCAAGGCCCCAGGAACACACACATCCCTCTTGCTAGCAGTGGAAGGATGCTACCTGGCTCCTGGCATCTACAGCTATTAGATGGACAGACCCCACATTCCCAGGCTGAGCTAAGTTGTGCCAGAGGACTCAAAGGCCCAGACGGGTCCTTCTGCACAGTTCCCACATTCAGACTTCTGGATCTGCCCTGCTGGAAAAGTCTTCAGCCTCCAGAAGAGCCAGGCTAAAGTCAAGTGCTTGACACAGGACCGGGTGCTTCACATTCAAACTAGAAGCTGGGGCTTGGTGGGGAGCAGGGGTCAGAGGGTCCCAATGGAACCAACACAGACTGCAGGGAGAGGAGGGCAGGGACAGCAGGGAAGATGGCAGACAGCAGGCAGTCTTGGAGGGGCCCTGTTAAGGTCTGCCTGGAGCTTCGCCCTGGACCATCCCACCCCTCCCCTCCCGAACCTGAATGAGCTCCTGCTGTTCCAGGTCCCACTTCTTGATGCCGTTGTCCCTGGAGCCACTGAACAGTATGTCTCCTTGGATGGCCAGGCATTCGATACCGTCATAGTGAGGGGGCTCAAAGTTGTGGGTTGGGCCGATGGTGCCCATCACACAGTCCCCCAGCTGGAACATCTGCAGAGGAGGAGGGCAGAGCCCAGAGAGGGGCATGTTTGGGGCAGGCCTTGAGCACTGTTGGAAGAACACTGCCATAGTCTCACCCCCTCCATCTCCCTTGCATCCACAAAGTGTCCAACTATATCATAGAGAGCAAACCAAATTGCCTATTTTGTATTTTTTCCTACTTATTTTTTTTAAATAATTTATTTTAACTTTATTTTATGTGCATTGGTGTAAAGGTGTCAGCTTCCAGGGAGCTGAAGCTACAGGCAGTTGTGAGCTGCCATGTGGGTACTGGAAATTGAATCCAGGTCCTCTGGAAGAGCAGCCAGTGCTCTTAACCGCTGAGCCATCTCTCCAGCCCCCCTACTTATCATTTTAATGGTCGCATCATATCCCATTCAGAGGCTCTACCTGCAATCCTTACACATTTAGGTTGCTAATTTCTCACGATTTACAGAATAATTCTATGCCCTTGACTGATCATACACATCTTCCTGTTTTCTCTGAGATGCTCTCTCCAGCAGCAATTCCCAGAAGTCTCCCTGTTTTTTATATGTTCCCCACGTAACAGAGGGTAAAGGTGGAATAGGCGGAAATAGTGAGAACAGCATCGTTCAGGTGGCTCCAGCCAGACCCCAGCTAGTGTCAAGGCGGTTACAGGTACCTTCACATAGTGGTCCTTGGAGCCAGTCACCACGAGGTCATGCTGGTTCGAAGTCTGGGTGACTGTCAGGCACATCACTGTGCCAATGTGGCCGGTCAGTTTGCCGATGGGCTGGAACCTACAGTGGGGCGAGGCCCAACCAGGGATAGTCAGTTGGAGGGGCAACTAGGTTAGAGCAGGGGGATAGAAAAAATCTGGCCTGGAATAGACACAGATTACTTTCTCCCCTTCAAAGCAAGATCAAGGACCAAGGTCAGAGACAGTGGGCAAGCGCACAGATTGGGGAACCGGAGGCACAGTTGAGGTCCAGCCCACACCAGAGTGGTCCACTTTGCTGAGGCCTGTGGACCTTCCCTGAGCCTATTCTCCTGACATCTCACTGACCTGTTAAGCTCCCAGATCCGGACAGCATTGCCAGAGGCCACATACAGCATGGTGCCTGAGGGGCTGAGGGCCATCTGGTTGATCTGATGCTCGCCCTGGGCACTGGTGATGGCACGCGTGGATGTGGCTATGCAAGCATCTCCTGAGATCACCTGGCCTGAGGACCTACTCAGAGAAAAGAGAGCAAAGCCAGAGGTCACAAGAGGCTATTCACGCAGGCCAGAAAAACAAATCTCACTTGGACCAGCTCGGAAAAGTCACTTCTCCCAGGATGTCTTCTCTATGTAGGCTGAACAGTCTCCCCTGGAAACTAGACCTTTGGTCCAGCTACACTCTAGCCAACATGTCTCTATGACCCGTCGTGTGCGTGGGCAGTTTGCACAGACTGTAGGAGTCAAGGGGCTTTGAACCTGGGTCATGTAGAAATCACTTAACTTCTCCGTGCCTCAGTTTCTCCATCCATTTGTGTACGACCCCTCCCCCAGACTTCATTAAAAAAAATAGCTTTAGATCCACAGCAAAACTGAGTGGAAGGTAGTTTTCCCATCTACCTCTTTCCCTCCCAAAAGAGCCATGATCAACACCCCACACCCCAGCCTTTGCTACAGCAGGCGGACCTACAATGGATATACACCCAGGCTCATGACACATAGTGGGGCTCATTCTAGGCGGTCTACATTCTATAGGGCCAGTCAAATGTGTGACATTCTCTGTGGCTACTGCATCGTCCTGAGTAAGTTTGCAGCCCTAAATATCCCTGTGTTGGCTTTTCAAGTATCAGACTAATCAATCTGTGGCTTCTAATGCACACATAAGGATAAAACCTGACTTCTGGAGAGTCTGTGTCCCTGCTGAGGACAATGATGGGTGGCTCATCTGTGAAGCTGGCTGGCTTTGGAGGCTGCTGCCTCCTGCTGGTGTTTCGGATTCCTAGGGCTATGTGCAGTTTATCTCAAACCGTTGATCTTGGAGGACTGAGACCAAGGTAGGGAGGGGCCAGGTAGGTCAAAGGCTCACTAACCCACTATTCAGAAACTGTCCCCTAAACCTTGTCCTCTGGAGTCAAAGTCACTCTATGGGCCAGTAAGGGCCTTTTTGCCCGTCTAGTCAGGCTGTGCCATGATTAGTGCTCACCTACACAGGGAAGCGCTTTTCTCAAACCCAGCCCCGTGAAGCAGGAGGTAGTGAGGCACTCACGTGAGGGTCCGAACGCACTTGGCTGAGTCCCGGATGTCCCACACTTTGATGTAGGAGCTGGACACGGAGAACACCAGCCCGGAATGGCTGCAGTATTTGATAGAAACCACGTTGTTGGGGTGACCCTTGAGAGCTGCGATCTCCTGCCCTGTTACCAGGTTCCACATCTTGCAGCTACGGTCTGCCAGAGACAGGGGGACAACTATGGAGAGGAGCTGACATCAGGAGCCAGGAAGCTCCCGCAAAGGAGGGGGGGTCCCACTTGGTAGGGACAGACATCTCAGAACTCTGAGAGAGAAGCATGCATGCACGTGCAATCTCATAAAAAAAATAAAAATAAAAAACTCAGGAGACAGAAAAGGGGCTGAGAACTTTAAGTAACAGTGAGTTCTCTGGTCCTTGCTGAGGTGTCTGGGCTGAAAGAAAATTGCTACAAATCCACTACTTACTACATGACCAAGTAGCAAGCAAACATGGGGAAACTTGGAACCAATCAAACACAGCTCAGTGGACAGCTATCCCTTTCCCGTGTGGATAAATGTATGTGTGTCATAGATACGTATACATATATTGGTATGTGCACACACAGGCCCCTATTATGCATGCATGCTACAAATTTGTTCCTTCTTCTGGTCAAGTCTTTAACTTTTTTGTTGTAATCAGTTGTAGGACTGTGAACCCCTGCTGCTGAGACCAGAGGTACTGACGGACAGATGCAGCGGCAGAGATGACGTGGGTGCCGGGTAATATCAGGGAGGAATTGGTGGTATCAGAGAGTGGAGATGCTGGACTTCAGAAAAGCATCCCAAAATGTCTAAAGGAGGAGGTGGGCAGGGAGAGCCGGCGGGATCACGTGGGAGGGTAGGCTCAGTCAGGAGTGTACTGACTGAGACCCTGAGCCAAGGCAAAAGACAAGCAGCAAGCTCTCCACATAGCCTCAACCCTTGGGGGGAGCTGTACGCTGCTGTCTTCACAGCCCGCTCTGGAAAAGAAACGTGCAGTGGTGGGTGAGAGAACGTAGCCCCACTGGCCCCTCAAGTCTCCACGCACCTTTAGAGCCTGTGAAAAGCAACTCATCGGTGGCATCCAGGCAGAGGATAGGCTTGGTGTGGCCCTCGGCCATGGAGACACACTGCAATGGGGCCGTCCGTGCTCCCTTTGCTCCGCCAATGGGGGTGATGACGCCCCTTCCCAGGAGAGAGGGAAAGAGGATGTGCCAATCAGCCAAGGGGATCGTGGCCAGGCTGACCGAGGCACACATGACAGAGGGGTCTGGGCTGAGAGGGGACAGTGAATAATGAGAGGTTCAGGGACTGCTGACAAAACTCCACCAAGGTCTGGGAGCCAGAAAGAGCTGCGGTTGCCATCCTCAGACTGCTGGAGAAGTCCATGCCAGGCACGCTGGAAGGAACAGGATCGGGAGAGGCTAGCTAACTTGAAGCCAGCGATAGGTATGCAGCCAGCCCTGCTGGGGCAGGACGGAGGCCCAAGTGCTAGCACTGGCCTCTGTAGCGCCCATGAGTCTACATGCTTATTCGGCGATCAAAACTGGGGGCAGGCGAGAGGAAGGATGTGCATACAGGTTGTCACACTCCACAGACTTCATTTACCAGCCAGTGATCTAGGGCTGGCAGTAGTGAGGCAGACGGGCACCTACACAGAGCCACATGAGTTGGGCCAGCATGGTCAGACCTGTGCCGGTCATTTACAAAGGGATAAATCAGGGCTGGGCACACACCTGTTATCCCAGCACTTGGTAAGCTCAAGCCGGAGACGGCTGTGAGTGTGCCGCCAGACCGGTTTCTATAAGGAGCTCAAGGCCAGCCTGGCACATATAGGACAACCTGTCAAACACAAGCAAACCAGCCAACAAACAAAAAATCCCATATCCAAAGGGATAGGTCAGGGGACTGCAGCCCAACAGGGGGCTGGGATGCCTGAACCTCTCTGGAGCAAGCCTGCCTGGGCCTGGAATGGTACCTGCTTGTCCTGCACAATACCCTGGGAGCAGGAACAAGGACGAGGCAAGGAAGTATAAGAGTTTTGCTATATCTACCTTTGGGGGTTCTAGGGGTGATTTTGTCTTCCTCAGGAAGGTCTTTAATGATGAGACCCAGCTAGGTTGCATCAAAAACCACATTCTAGCTCTTTAAAGAGAACGCTGCTGCGGACAGTGGCACAATGGCTGGGGGTGGAGTCACTGAGATGACTGACATGCCACTTGTAGCATTCTTGCACGATCTTGCAGACTTGCCTTGGCCAGGTGCAACACCAGGACACTAGTCACACATGCCCACATGCCAGAAAAGCACATGCATAAATAGCTCCCTACTTTCGCTGCCAGCTTGTGATGCCAGTTTGGGCTGAGTTAGGCCAAGACCACCATGAAAGTGTATCGAAAGGAGTCGGTGATCTAAAAGGCTGGTATGTTACTAGTAGTATCTATTGGCAAGACCTCATTGCACAGGCTAAATCAGTGGTGCCAACCACGGTATGGCAGAATATGGTAAGCAGAGAGCATGCCTGGAGAGCTAGAGGGAGCTCTTGGCCTTTGTATAAGAGCCTTCTGCTGGCCAGGGTCCTAAGCCTTACCCCTTGCTATGAGGGCTCTGTGCTCAGTAGGCTCGAGGGACCAGCCTCTGGTGTCCTGTGGGCTGAAGGGTAATAGACACCCACAAGCTGTGTGCTAAGAGATATAAGCAGGGCACTGCCCCCGCCCCCCCGGTGCCCCTCAGAGCTGAAGTTTGCAAGACTCACCCACCAACACAAGCTAAGTTACAAGAACCGCAAGCACAGCCACCATAGCTAAAGACACTTGATAAAGACTAGCAGGCTCACAAGGTCCTCGCGGTACCTCTGCTTCCACTCCAGTCCAACCCAGGCTTCCATGTCCCTCCCCACCTTGCCTGGGGCAGGAGGGAGAAGAGAACAGGGCCAGCCACAAGCAGCTGCACCCTCCCCGACCACAAGCCCTTAGCTCTAGCCAGGCATGGCATAGTCTGAGGCCACGGGGTCACCATGAGAGGAAGGAACCATGGGGCAAGAAGAGGTCTCAGGAGGGCCATGGATGTAGCAGAGGCGGGGGGTTAGGAGAGGAGGGGCAGCATGCTGTGGACAGGGGGTACAGGCAGGAGGGGCTGGTGGAGCATGAGGCAAAGAGAGAAAGAGAGAGCAAGAAAGGGGATCAAACATGAGAGACATTCTGTGTGTACCTCAGGACCTCCGACAAAGAGGAGTCGCTGTCATCAGACCTGGGAAGGGCAGAAAATTAGCTGGATTAGGGGAGAGAGGAAAACACACATAGGAATGGCGGTAGCAGCAGTGGCAGCAGCAACAACAGAGCAGGGAGGTCAGAGGGCGGTTATTCTCTTCAGGGAAGGCAGAGAGAGGCAGGGGAAGAGGGCCTTTAGGGAGGGTGGTGGGGTTAGGGTGGGGACAGACTGTCCTGGGAGCTGGGAGAGTGCCCCAGCAGCAGACCACCAGGGGGTCTCTCAGCTATCAGGGTAGGGGTGAGGAGGGCCATAGGAGGTGTGGGAGGCCAGCCCACTCTTGGGGAGATGGTTCCAGGGCTCTTTGCTAGTTCCAAGCTCTCTGGTAGGCCCACTGTGTAAGCTGGGGCCGGCTGTACCATCCCGGCAATGCTCAAGCCTGTCCAAGGACACAAGAAGGCCCCCAATGCTCTTTTCCTCCCTCAGACCATATCTAGAAGTTAACTCTGTGTTGTGTGTAGGTCCCAAGACTGGAGCACTGGATAGGACCAAAGCCTGTAGACCAGACTAGGATGGGCAGAGTCCTACTCCAATTTGTGGGGAGTAGGAGAGGACAAAGTGGATGTAGTGGCACATGCCTGTAATCTTAGCGCTTAGGAGAGTAAATCAGAAGGATAAGGGTTCGAGACTAGTCTAGATACATGGCAAGACCCTGTCTCAAAAGCAAAACAAAGAAATAAATAATAAACCAAATGACCAATCAAGTCAATTGCATGGCACTGGGGAGAGGTGTATCAGGATGGGCGGGCCAGGCATAGCCACAGCTTCTTTAGTAGGAGCTGAGATGAAGTAAACTTGGGCAAGAACAGTATCCAGGATGCTGACCTGCTGGGTCTGCCCCACGCGCGGGTTTAGCACCTAGGGAGCAGTGTTTTGAGCCAGAAGGGGAGGTTGCTGTGAGAGGGTGGGCAGAGCAGGAATCACACACAAAGGGCAGGCAGTCTATAATCTGGGGCTCCCCTGAAAGTCACAACATCATTGCTCTTCATGGCAGGAAAGCTTTCAGGAGGAAAGAAGGGAGCCCTTTGGGTAACTATAGAGCCGAAGATGGCCAGAGTGGGCTTGGGGGAGCACAGAAATGAAACCATGAATGATGGGGTCCCCCTGAAGGCAAAAGTCCCATTGTCAGGGTTAGAGAGTCAGCAGTCCCAGATTCTGGGCCTCCTTCTAGGCAAAGGCCCCTGGACTCTGCTTTGGACCACATTCTTATGCAAATCAGAGAAGACAAACAATTCTTGGGCTGGTTGACAGTTCCTATGGAATCATGCATGTACAGCAGACCGTGAAGCAAGGTTGAGCACCGTTTGAATACAGGGATGTCTGTGAACAGAATGACCCTATAGCAATGACGGCCTAACCACAGGAGCTGTGAACACAGGTGGAGCTGAGCCCACCACGTGGAGATGACTCAGGGGTCTCTGTCCACTGGGCAAGCGCTCAAGGATTACCGAGGCCTTACGTAAAGCTTTTGCAATCAGTAGCTGGAGCTTTAAGAAAGGGCTGCAGAGAACAGCAAAGACAGAAGCAGTTGGAAGGGGCATTCTAGAATACCCTCTGGTATGCTTGCCCCACGGCTACTACTCCTGACTGTCCCACCCTAGGGATGTAACCTCCATCTTTTCCTTTCCTGGCACTCTTGGGGGGAAAGGAGAGACCCTTGATGAATACAGAAAAGTTGAAGAATATCAAGGGCCTCATGACTCAGAGGAGCTGAAACAGACCGGCTGGAGTCTACCCAGTTGACCGGCCCCCACAGGCTTCCCCTCCCAGCCTCAGTGCCCTGCTTGGCTCTCCTCAGGCCTGCTCTTACTTGTCCAGTGCTGACCCCTGGCTCTGATTGCTGGTGAGACGAGAGAAGACGTTGCGGTCATTGCGGGGCCGAGTGGGAGGTGAGGATGGAGGTGTGAATCCCATGTCTGTGGATCTGGTAAATGAGAACAGGAGTCATCAGTGACCACACCCTTATCCACAAGTCCACCCAGTATTGGGTTTCCAGCTTCTGTCCCACCCCATGAAGCCCCAGGGGACAGGGCCTGTTGTGTAGTGACCTCAGAACTCCTTTCCTAGCCAAGAGCCTAGATGATGCTTTTTTCTATTTAATTAATTAATTAATTTTTATGTATGAGTGCTCTCGTGTACACTTCCAAGCCATAAGAGCATTTGATCCCATAATAGATGGTTGTGAGCCACCATGTGGTTGTGGTTGCTGGGAATTGAACTCGGGTCCTCTGGAAGAGCGCCCAGTGCTCTTAACCGCTGAGCCATCTCTCCAGCCCTAGATGATGCTTTTTAAATATTTATCTTATTTTATGTGCGTGGGTGTTCTGCTGGCATTTATATCGGTATTACAATGTGTGTGCAGTGCCAGCAGAGGGCATCGGACACCCTAGAACTGGAGTTGCAGGCGGCTGTGAACCCCTGTGGGAGCTGGGAGTTGAACCCAGGTCCTCTGGAAGAACAGCCAGTGCTCTTAAACATGGAGCCAACGTCTCTCCAGCCCCTAGATCCTTAAATCACACCCTCACGGTGTAGCTGGAGTTTCATCTGCTGTTTGAAGTTTGTTTCTAATCCCACAGTCAATGCTCCTGGTCATTCTCTGGGTGGTTATCAGACTTACATGGGGTAGTGGAAGCTTTGTATAATTTTGCGTGTGCGCTTCCAGCTGAGGCTGTTCCCACCCTGATCCTGGAAACAAGTGTCCTGGGGACGCTCCAGTTACTGCCTTTGTTTATTAGAGCATTTTTGTGTTTCTTAGTGATGGTTTTGATTTGTTTGTTTTGACACATGAGCTCACTATGTAGCGCTGTCTGGCCTGGAACAAACTATATAGACCAGACTGGCCTTGGCTTTGCAAGACTTTGACCTGGCCTCTGTCTGGATGCTAAGATTACAAGTGTCGGCTACCACGTCCAATTATATGGAGATTTTGGTTCCTGAAACAGTTCCAAAGCACACTGCAACAGTCCTCTCCAACACTGCTAAGCATTAGAAAGCTGAGAAAGATCAGACAAGCTTCGTTGGGGCCTGGGTTACAGTGCCATGGTTGAGCTCAATACTGTCAATCTGCATACAGTAACTCAGGTCTTTCTTTAAACTAGGTGATGCAGACATCATTGGAGACACGGTCAGTTCCTCGTGGGAACCTGGCCCTCCATATGGAGGGAATAATCCCTACGAGCAGTTCTGGCTCTGATTTACCGACTCGTTGTTCAGAACAATCTCCAGAAGCTGAACCATGAGAACTGACAGTTCCTTCAAGGAAGAGTCTGTGACCTCGGTGGCCTGTCTATTCCCCTCTTTGGAAAGCCACCATTACACTCTCCTCCCTTTGGATTAGCATCCTGAATTCAGCTTAGTCCTCAGACTGACTTCAGTGTGTTCTCTGAGTTCACAGATGAAGGCTGTTAGGCTGCACGTATAGCAATATCCTCTCAACTCCTCTCAACCAAGGCCACTTGCAAGCCAGAGCTATGGGCAAAGAGGGAAGACTGGGGTCTGGAGCAGGCTCTTCTCCTGCCTCTCATAGGTTGCTACGATCACGCTGAGCCCAGACACCTCACCATTTAGCTGTGAAGATGGAATATATGACCATGGTGCCATAAAGGGCTGCACTAGCAAGTGTATGGGATGATCCACAGAGAAGACGTTCAGAGCCATTCATGCCCCTGAGGACCGGACAGTGACTTGTGCAGATTCTAGAATGTATTTTCTCACCTGATAGGCTGCCCCCGGTCATAAGACTTTCTTCGGGTCAGAGGGGATGTGTCCGTGGCACCTCGAGACTGCCGAGGGCTAGAAAAGAAGGATCCAGTGAATCCAAGACCTAATTTTCTGCCCACGTTGACCCATGACCCGGATCCCCCTCCTTACAAAGTGCTGCCTCGGGTGGGCAGGCTGACAGTGCGTGAGACCTTGTCCCGGTAGTAGGGGTCTCTGATAGAGAAGCCCACTCCATCCTCTTTGATCTCGACGAGGGAGGCCAGGGACTTGGTGATGTTCTTGGTGGAACTATCCAGCGGGGGTCCCAGGCATTCCGCAGACACAGCCTTCATTTGGGCAGATAGCTTAGGCTCACCCTAGGAAAGGAAGGATGAGTGGGCCAATGTGCCCAACTGATGGACCATAAAAGGAAAGTAAGACCTGGGCCTGATGACACAGCCCCTACTATTCCAAGTACAGGGGAGGCTGAGATTCTAACTAAAAAAGCTGAGAACAGAAGATCTAGTTCAGTGTGGGCTTACCCTCCAGTATGGAAGCAAACACATGAGAAGTGGGTAAATCCTGAGGAAAATGATACTGCCTGGCCTGAGGGAGATTTGCTGGTGGAAGCCTTTAGACTATGCAAACCACAGAGTATCCATCAGACTGACCTAATCAGATCATTCCAGGACGAGGCATAACTCACTGCTCAGTCTGCAGTTCCCTACAGCCAACTTTAATAAGTCTTGAGTTCATTCTTATCACTAATCTGTCAATCTATCACCATTAAGAAAACTTTCTCACTGCTGACTTCCATGCGGTTGAACAAATACTGCAGGGAAAATAACTAGGGATCTAGACCTGGCGTTGACCCAGAGTCTTGGGTGGGAGGGAGACGTTCTGTAAAGCAGGGTCTCTGGGTATAGTGATCTCACTAGGTAGAGAAGACACAGGCTGTCAGCGGGTCTAGTCATTTCTCCCACGGTGAAAAGAATGGGCTGCCTGGTCTACATAGCAAAATCTATGTTGGTTCCCCCACCCCCCAGCCAGTTCCAGGCACAATCCTTCTTGGCATCTCCATTTCTTCTATGGTCAAAACTGAATTAGGGCTGGAGACCTGGAACTACGGTCATGGGGATCAGAATGTAAGGACTTTGCCCTACTAAACCTACAGCCTCATTTCCAACAGGACTTACCTTGAACTTGAAGTCATCATGGCTGGTGGAGCCTTTCATGGTGAATGATTGGGAAAAGCTGAGGAAGAAAGCAAGGAAGTTTAGGATCATGATAGTTATACTGTATCTCTCTAGGACCTAGCCATATCAGTCCCAAAGAGCCTGCAAATCCAAGCTTAGCCCTGGGGTCCTATGGGACCCCTCTTCCATCTCCAGGTACATGCTGGAAGGCTGCTGCCTCCCTGCTTGAAAACTCACCTTCCTTCAGAGAACTCGGAGACTTCCTCGTCTGTGCTGGCATAGCCATTCTCTGAGGGGGTGGGGGAAGGAAGGAGGAAGGTGGATGAGAGACCCCATCAGAGTACGCGGAAAGAGGACGAGCCTTTCTCCAGCATCTCCTCACCCGCTAGATCAGACTAAGACTTCTGAGGGAGTTCTGAGGCAGGGGAGTTTGGGGAGCTGGAAAGCCCTCTCCACAATGAAGCTTTACCCTGCTGCACATTGTAGAGGAGGGCCTGCAGCTCGGGGTGTGCCTCGGCCTTCTCACGCAACGCGTCCAGGAGCAGGTGGTTCTGAGAGGAGCCCGTCATGTCTGTTTGTCTCAGCCGTCCTTCCAGCAGCCGGATCTGGGCTTCCTTCTGGGCCACCTGTAGACCCTGGGGCCAAAGAACAAGGTCAGGTGTACTCCTCCTGGCCTACGGTTGATGCTGTAGCCCTTCACACTCACACACACACACACACACACACACACACACACACACACACACGTTAGTGAAGGCCACTCTAGCATATACTCCGTTATGGGTGGACTTACAATTCCTCATTCAATGCAGAAGTCCCAACCTCTGTTACCTTAAAATGTGAATGTACTTGGAGACAGATCCTTTAGAGTGGGAACCAGGATAATACGAGGTCAAAGGTGTGGTCCCTAATACAGTATGACTGATGTCCTTATAATAATAGATCATGACAAGCCACACAGAGGAAGGATCATGTGGAGACACAGGAAGAAACAATGGCCATGGAGAGAGGCTTCAGAAAAAACACCTGGCTAACACTGGGATCTTAGGCTTAGGAAATCTCTGTTGTACCAGCCGCCCCATCTGTGACATTTCGACATGGTACCCCAGCACACTGATACAGCCCCCTAAGACAGAAAGAAACACCGAGAAGCCACTGGGGGGTCTGGCTAAGAGTTGGGCAGGATGGCCTCTCAACCTCTTTCCAGTTAACTATATGGACACTAGCTGGCGTCTGTCCCAAGACTCAGGCCCTAGGACAGGAAGAAACACATTCTCTGGTCACTGAGGAGAGGCCCAACGACTCCTGGTGTTCTGGTAGGCCAAGGGTGGAATGTAATTTTTGCTTCCTGTTCCTCAATCCCTAATGTACACGCATTTTCCCCTCTGCCTCCAACAGACCCAAGCCCGGTCCTGCTGTGGATGGGCCTGGCCACCTATAACTGAAGCCAAGCCCATATGTGCAGCAGTGCAGCATTCTGTGCTGCCAGCTGCAAGCCTTGTATTGTCAGTGTTCCGGTTTTATAGCGGTAGAACCTGAGGTCTGCAGGTTCAGTTGCTTGTCCCAGCCTGTAAATGACGCAGGTGGGAAGGAGCCAAACCCGTGGGCTTCACCACCAGGGTATACAATGCATGCCCAGTTCCAGGGGAGCTGCCAGCTCACCTTGTCAATGGATGCCTTGAGGAAGTTGTCTAGAAGTAGGCGGGCTTCAGCTAGCGAGCAGGAGCTAATGACCACGGACGTATCTGTTGAGTCCAGCTCCTCCTTTTTGAGACCAAAAAGCAGAAACACCCATCACACAGGGCTGCCAAGCCCACTCATTGCTACCACCCCACCCAGCCAGACTGTCCTGCCGGTACCTTGGTTTCCTCCAGCTGCATGATGGTGGCTTGGCAGTCAGTGATGCTGTCATTGATGTAGTCAATGTTGGCTGCCAACACTTCGATCTCCTCAGCCAGCTCCTGTAGCCCCTTCTCCTCCTCGGGGCTCTCAGCCTGCAGCCGCTCCCGCTTCCTCCGCAGAGCCTCCTGTAGGAGGAATAGCTCCTCCCTTTTCTGTGGGGATGGGGAAGGAGATAGTGATGGAGGAGACATCTCACACCTAGGCAAGCCCTGCCCACAGCTCTTACACCAAGTCACCTGTCTGTCTGGGATCATCTAGAGGTCAGATCGGGCATGAGGAGCAGAGGTGAAGATGAGAAAGAGTGAGGAGCCAGAGAAGTAGCAAGTGACCGGACAGGTGGAAAGCGGGGTGGGAGAGATGAGAAAGGAGGTCCCACCTTTATGAGCCGCTCCATGTCAGCTTCCAGGTTGACAATGGTCATCCTCTGCATGACAATGTCGATGATCCTCCGTTCCAGGGACTGCCACTTGAGTCTTGCCGCCTTACTGAAGCTTTGGCTGGCCCCCTTCTTCTGGAACTTTTTCCTGGGAGACAGAGGCAAAGGGGTTTTGACTGACTGCTCTGAACCTCTGAAGCTCTATTGAGCTCCTACACAGATTCTGAAGCAGACAGCCCAGGCACCAGAGCACTTCCTGGACTTTCACACTCCCGTCCTGCTCACACTTCCGTCCTGCTCACACTGCTCACCTGGCTGGGCGGGTGCCATTGACAGCAGCCGCGGGGTGGTCCCCCAGGAAGTGGTTGATCTTCCGGTTCCACTGGCGCACTATGCTGGAGACAGAGCGAGCTCCCGACTCAGCCTCAGACGAGGTAGTACTGGCAGACACCTCGGCCCCAGAATCCAAATTGGGGGGCTTGGATCCTACACGCCCAGCCACTCGCTCAGACATAGGCTTTGCCAAGCGCCTAAGTGCAGAGACCTGGGCAAAGTGAGGACAAGAAGAGGGGACCCGGTGAGCAAGGAAGAATGGGGGGTAAGAAGAGGGGACCGAGTGAGCAAGGAAGACTCTCAGAGGGACAAGAAGAGGGGACCCAATAAGCAAGGAAGACTGGGGGATGAGAAGAGGGAACCCAGTGAGCAAGGAAGACTGGGGGATGAGACGAGGGAACCCAGTGAGCAAGGAAGACTGGGGGATGAGAAGAGGGGACCCTGTGAGTAAGGAAGCCTGGGGGACAAGAAGAGGGGACCCAGTGAACAAGGAAGACTGGAACTTCAGGAAAGCCTGGTTTGGGCGTTGGGAGAATAGGGGCAGCACTGTATAGGCCTGAGCTTGGGGCTGTAAAGGGATAAGAAGTCTGTGATGTAGAATAAACACAAGAGATGCCCGTTCTCTCTCTCTCCTATTTTTTCACTCTCATGCTCTTGAAGGTGTATACGCATGTACACACCTGGGTGTGCCTGTGCACACGTCCCCAAGCACATGGAGACCAGAGGCGGACACTGAGTGTCTTGCTCTATTTCTCCCCCTGTGTTTGCAGGCAGTGTCTGTCAATGAACCCAGAGCTCTCCAGTAAGCTAGACTGGCTGGCCAGCAAGCTCTGAGATCCACCTGTCTCCACCATGCCAGTTTTTATGTGGGTGTTGGGGATTAACGCACAGGTCCTCAGGCCTAGATGGTGAGTAATTTACTGACTGGGTCATCTTTCTAGCCCTCCCTTTTCTCTCTCTCTTTTTTTTTTTTTTGTTGTTGTTTTGGTTTTTTTGCTTTTCGAGATAGGGTTTCTCTGTATAAGAGCTCTGTTCTGGAACTCACTTTGCACTAGGCTGGCCTCAAACTGACAGAGATCTGCCTGTCTCTGCCTTCCAAGCGAGGGCATTAAAGGTGTGGGCTACCAACACCTGGCTTTTTTTTTTTCTTTTTTAAATGACCAGTCAGACACTGGGGATGGGACGTGTGTATTGCGCCCTCTAGGCTTGGCTCACTGGTTGAGAAGTCATTTCTCACAGGTTACTACAAGTTGGCAAGGCTGCACTCACTGAACGGAAGGAGATCCAGGCCACACATAGCAAGGGTTCGCCCTCCCTCTTATCGCTTTAGAGGAGTACTTCTTGGGAGCCAGAGCCACACCTGTCTATCCAGCTGGCCTGATGAGAACACTCACCTCCTGGGTCTTCCTCCTCAGGACTATTTCCTGCTGGCGCTTCTGAGACTCCAGGGCCCTGATCTGAAACTGAAAGAAAAGGGTTGGGCCACATCCAGCTACCAACAACACTCTCGCTGTCCAGACAGGGCTGGAAATGGGCTGGTCACTCTGCAGCGAAGAGCTCAAGACCTTCTCGTGTGGGGTGATGCTCACACTGCCAAACTGTAGATAAAATGGATACTTGGATTTGCACCCTTCTACCTGGGGTGGCCGCGAGGCTAACTCTCTTGGTCTTACCTCCTACCACGAACACAAACCTGGACTAAACACCTAGTCTCCCGGGCCTGAAGCTCCAAGTGTCTGGTTTTATTGGTGACCTTGGAAAATTCATGTCCTTCTCTGGACTCAAGTTATTTTCTTGAACACGCAGGGGTTAGGACAGAAGCCAACAGTAGCTCTGCCTTTCTGATAGGCTATATTATGTTCCAAGCAAGGCTGGTGTCACTTGGGCCGGTGGGAACTGGGGGTTGAAGGGTACTTGGTAGGCAAGGGGGGCTGAAAACTCTTGGGAGCTCTTACCTCCTGCCTCCGTTGTTCTTTCTTGAGCTGAGCGATCTCCCGGTTCCTCTTGGTCTCCACCAGCCGTCGCCGCTGCTGCTCCTCACGCATCTGTTTCATGAGGGCCACCTGGGATGGCAGAGCCAGCGGAGGTGAGGCTGGGCTGGGCCAGAGCTGCCTATATGCCCAGTCATAGCTGGTTGTGAGGACACTGGTCAGGGAGGCAGCCCTCAGACTTGGGGGTCTGAAACCTAAGATATCCTTCCCATTCGTCCCAAATGGGAAGCTAAGATACCTTAACAAGCTGTTAAAGAAGTGGCCTTGGCACTTAAAGTCTATCCCAGCCCCCATTAAAAGCCACTATCCCCAGCCTGGCTGAGATTCCAGGGCCAATCTTACAGCCACAGCAACACAATGAGAACTTGTTACAAGGCAGACCCCATCCTCAGGAGGCTCAGATGAGAAAGGCCTCTCTCCTGTCTTACCAAGAAAGAAAGGAGCCTTTAAGACAAAGAAACTAGAATCACAGATCCAGGAAGAGCTGGCTAGTGGAGCCTGGGTCATCTTACTTCCCAAACCCAGGCTCCTCTCCATCTCCTGCATTCCTCACCGCAGGGAGGTGAGTGCGTGCCTGGCACAGGGCAGGGGTGAAATGGGCCTCAGTCCCGAGGCAGCATTGCTCTGCAGCTCTCCTAAACTGCAGGAGACCCCAAAGCTGTGGGCCTCACAGTCAAGATCTGCAGACACAGACCGCTGCAGTCCTCGGCTGTTCCTCTTTCCCCTATAGGGAAGAAGGGGGCCCTGCTCAGGCACCCCTGAGCTAACCTTGGGTTCTTCTTTTCCACTTATAGCCCTGGGACCATAAGAGCATAGTCAGGTGGACAGAACCAGATCCTGGATGAAGGACTGGACCTCCCTGAGGACAGAGCCCACCCAGGTACACATCCATTTCCTCTAAAATCGATTAACTCTGTCTTTCCTGTGTGTACCAAGCATGCAAGATGCCTAACCAAGAGCTGGCAATGGTGCCAATTGTTACTATGATTAGAGGCTTGTACCAAATGAAGCTTTAAGGCTTCCTTGTACAGATGGGAACTATTAGTACAGCTACAGTGTTACATACTAACAGTGTTAACTTACATATATATAGATTATATATATGCATACATATTATATATGTGTATATGCATACATATTATATATGTATACACACACACACACACACATATATATTATACTAGTAGTGCAACTATTAGTACAGCTTCCCAACACAACAGCAGCATTGAGCAGGGTACCTGTAATGAACCCAGTACTGAGCTGAGGTAACTAGGAAGAAGTGCACATGACTGAGGCAGGATTGGATCAGGTGATGCTGTGTTTAGTGGAAGATCCACACTTGACAGCAGTGATAAGCTTTAACTTGGAATATGGATTCTAAGGCACCGCAAAGGCACCTCGACCCCACTCCTCATGCCCTCTGCCTACCTTGGCCTTCTTCATCTCAGCTACCTCCGCTTGCAGCTTCTTCAGCTCCCTTTCGTAGCGGGACTGGTTCTTGAGTAGCCTGGCGTGCTCCTTTTGAGCAGCCTGTAGCTTCTGCAGGTCCCGGTTCATCTCCCGCAGCCTCTTCTCATAATCCGCCTTTATCTTGTTGGCCTTCTCCTCCGTGTAGCACTCCATGGTGCCTGAGAACAGTGAAAAGCAGTGTCGGAGCTGCAGGCTCCACGGCTCCCACTAAATGAGGGCTCAGTGCAGAGACAGGCCTGGGGTTCTTGCTTTCAGGTTGACCTCTTCCCTGAGCCTACTTCTTCATTTGAACAATGAGGATGTGGGCTCAGCAGCCACCCTAGGCTCTTTCCTGCTCTGACATTCTATCGTTCGGTAGTGTTTTCAGGATGAGACTTTGGTCCCTGGAAAGGTGGTGCCAGCAAGAAGTGGACGGTTAACAAGAAGAGCTAGGGCAATGGAACTGCAGTGGAAGGAACACACCGGCTCCTTGCCAGATGCTTGCACCAGAATGCAACATCCCCAACTGCGGGTCCAACACCAGCCCGACTTCCACTTTTCACTCCATCTCTGAAAACCTCACCACCTCGTGCCCAGAGGCTTGGCTCCTAAGACCCGGCTCCCTTATCCACCATGCCTCCTGTCCACCCTACCTTTGAGATGCTTGAATCTGACCACATCTTACCACCTGTCCAATCTGCCTCCACGTTCATCCACCAACAAGCCAGGCACACGACTGCCTCAGGGGCTTAGCAGCTTCTGTTCCCTCTGTCTGGAATGTTCTTTCCACTGCTAGTTCTGCTCTTGGGCTACCTCATCTCTCTCGAGCCTTACTCCAAGGTTACCTTCTCCTTCTCCAGGTAGCCCTCCATGCCCCAGGCTGCGCCACCTCTAAGTCCCCCATCCCCTTTCCATATTAACAAACAACCAACTTAGTTGTGCCAGCCCTGCTAGCCTTTCTGCTCACTATGTTGTCACCCTGCTAGAGACACTCCATGAGAAGGATTTTACAACACTAAAACAACACCTCTTCTATAACATTAATCGAACACCTGCTAAATAAGTGGACGAGGAAGTCAATCGCCCCACAAGTCAGAGCAGTAGAGGGGCAACAGTTTGAGAAATTTTATAAACTGGATGTAGTGGGGTGGAGGGAGGTCAGGAAGTGTCTTAGTCATATGCCTTAGGAGACAAAGGATTAAAGATTTCTAATGTATCACATGACAACCACCAGGGAGGCTGAGTCAGAAAGACTGCCATAAATTCAAGACTAGCTTGGGCTACTCTGTCTCAAAAAGGGGGGGCTTCAAAATGGCTCAGCAGCCGGGCGGTGGTGGCGCACGCCTTTAATCCTAGCACTCGGGAGGCAGAGGCAGGAGGATCTCTGTGAGTTCGAGGCCAGCCTGGTCTACAAGAGCTAGTTCCAGGACAGGAACCAAAAAGCTACAGAGAAACCCAGTCTCGAAAATAAAAAAAAAATAAATAAAAAAATGGCTCAGCAGATAAAGGCACTTGCTGCCAAGCCTGATGACCGAAGTTAAATCACTGGGACCCAGATGGTGGAAGGAGAGAATGGGCTTCTGCAAGTTGCCCTCTGACCTCTACATGTGTGCTATAATCTTACACACACACACAAAAGTAATTTGAAAACAAAAGTAGCAGAGAAGCTGGGTTAGATACAAGAACATTTTAACTATGGGCAAAAGGTCCCTTGTGCAGAAGGCCAAGTGTTATCAGAATGATGCTGGGTGTCTTTTGACAGAGCAGGGGATTGGTCGGGAAAGAGAAGCATGGTGCCAGCCTCACTGAGGTTCTGCAGCACACGGTCGCGCTCCAGCTGTGTGTCTCGGATCTTGTTCTGCAGCAGGATCAGCTTCTCCTCGTATTGGTGCTTGAGCGTCTGCAGCCGCCGCTGGCTGTTCTCCAGCTCGTCAATCAACTTCTGCTTGATCTCAATCTCGCAGGTCAGGTCTGCCAGGTCTGCCTGGAAGTTGACTTCTGCGGAGCAGGGCCAGACAGAGCCGGACTCAGCCCCATGCCAGGGGCTGGGGCAAGGGAGCAGAGGTGACAGTGCAGGGTCAGGGGACATCCTCTGTCAGCAGTGAGCAATCAGTGACCAGAAGGGTAGGCTGAGGACTGCCACGTGGGGCAATACATTTGATGAGCAGCTTCAGAAATCCTTATTGGGTCTCAAGAGCTTGGAGGGAGTCTAACGCCTTTCTCACCCTGATGGGCCCATGTGTCTATGTCACCATGATTGATGTCACGGGACCCTGCTTGGGTGAAGGAGGGTAAAGCGACTCAGAGCACCTTTGTAGGGCTGCAGGTGAGATGACAACAGGACAGAGCTGAAGGACAGAAGTCTCCACATGAAGGAGCAGGTCCTGGCACCAGCCAAAGTCATTCATTCAGAAGGTTACCCCTTTCTGGGTCCACCAAAGTGGGTCAGGAACCTCTCTGAGCATGCTCAGTGGTAACTCAGGGGTGGGGGTCTAATACCTTTGCATAAGGCAGTGGCGAGCACTGCGTTTATGAAGCCTTGTGAAGGGTCAAACTCAGCACAGTAGTGGGCATGTGAGGGGGCTAAGGATTCCCATCACTTGTCATTACTGTTGTTTTCATTGGCATCACAGGCAGGAGTCTGAGCCCTGTCTAGACATGCAGTCTCTGAGCACACTAGCCGGCCTACCCCACCCGATCCATCTGAACTTTTTCTTAGGGGCCAAAATCTGATTGACAGCCCCACCACTGACTGGCCACCAGCAACTCATCTCCCCAGTCCTGGCCCACGCACCCTTTTCTTCAGGGTCGGAGTCTGAGTCTACCAGGCTCTCTTCGCTGCCCGAGTCTTCATCCTCATCCTCACGCCCTTCCTCCTCCTCACAGCCACTCTCGTCTCGCTCTTCCTCCTCCTGGGCACAATGTACCATTAGGGCTGCGCCTGCCTCATGAGATGGGAGCCCCAAGACAGAGATTGGGCCACACAAGACTTCAGGGGAATCAGCAGGGGTGGGAGCCAGCCACACCCTCCTCTGGGAAGACCATCCACTGCTACTAGCCCGGGTACAGTATTTGTGGAGGATGCTCAGTCTAGCATCATCCATCTGGGATGAAGCAAAGGCCGGAGGGATGGAGATCACCATGGCAACAGTCAGTATTATCAAAATACTCAAGGATCAACTAAAGGCAGCTCTCTGGCCGGGCCCACGCTACGCTGATGGAATCTCTACCCCGACAGGAACATGGCGGCGAGCCCATGATGAAGCAGCCGGAGGAGCCCTCACCTCCTCAGCCTCGTTCTCAGTCTCCTCACTGTTTTCCTGATGGAGTTTTGCCCTCTTTTTGAAGGCTTCTTTCTCTGGGCTGCTTAGGGAACGAAAACGAAGCAGGATTAGAAATTAGCACCACAGGATTGGTGGTGATGGGACTCGGTTCCTGCTTTGGAGGGAACGTGATCTACTCCTCCAGTACCCACCCCCAGTCCTGCTCTGTCTCCTGGGATTAGCCTTGCGGAAAAGCACACAAGAGAAGGCTGGGGAGGCATCTTTGCTGCACATTGACTAAGCGCATTATTTATTGGTAATGCCCCTAAGAGTGGGGTGAGGCTGCGTAGGGGTGCTCCTCCCTGTACTTGGGGCAGGGAGTGCTTCTCCTGGATGGTGTGTGTGTGAGCACCTTCCAATGCTCTAGCTGCAGGGAAGGTAGTGACACTTACCTCTTCCTCCGCTGCCTGACCTCTTTCTTTTTCAGCCGCTCCAGGTCTTGCTTGGCCCTACGGATCACTTCCGAAGCATCTTCCATGGAGCTGGCCGGGCTGCCCCCAAAGGCTGGACCTGCTGGAGAAGCTCCCAGGGAGTAGGGATTGCGAGTGGAAGTCCGTGAGAGGCTTCGGCGGAGAGACTCATTCATGGCTTCACTCTCCAAGAGCTTTGTTCTGTATGGACAGAGCGAGTGGGTGGGGCCCGGTGAGCCACGTAAAATTAGCCTCGCCAAGGCCATCCAGCCTGCTCACACTGGACGGGCCTACTCACCGCAGCTCCTCAATCTCCCGGATGTAGTTCTGGATCAGAGCACCAATGGCCTCATTGCCATCACCTGAACGGAGAAGACAGGCACAATAAAGAAAACAGGTGACAACAGCAAGGACCAAGGCCATGGCTCTAAGACTGGTGGCCTTGCATGTGCTTCCAGCATGGTAGCTTACACAGGCTTTTCCATAAGGGAATCTATGTGAAGGAAATACTTGAACATGACCGTAGTTGTATCCAAGCACTGTTGGGTAATGGCATGAAATTGGAAACAATCTAAACGTCCGTCAATAGTGGCTGTTCAATAAATTATTCAACATCACATATGGAGCATCATGCAGTCATTTAAAAATTAAGTGGCTTTGAATATGAAGATTTTATAAGACACGATGCTAAATGAAATAAAGGAAGTCATAAAATAGAAAGTATGACCTCATCTACAGAAAATGCAATGCATATTATCTGCACGCACAAATGATATATTCAAATGCATTTATACTCAAATGTGCTGAGAAAGTGTGGGAAAACACGCACTGGCTGCTCAGGAAGGATCCTTCTGAAAGCAGCGGGGATGTGGGTGGAAGGTCAGCTGTGGAGAGCTGCATCTTTTGCTTAATGCACTATGGGTCTCTTACATGTTTAACAAGAAAGCTATGAGTGTGCCATGCTAAATTGCTGGGGAATGCATAAACGAAGTAATCTAAGCATTGGCTGGCCATCACAGCCTGCTTGATACCAGGGGGCAGGAGCGGTAGCAGGCATGCTACTGTTCTGAGCTAGTTTGCTGTACCCGGACTTACCAGCCTTGGCCAGAAGCAGGTTGGCCTCCTGGCTCATGAGTTGTGTGACCCGGTTGTTGATGGCATCAATGGCCTCCTGCATGGCCTTCACTCGAAGCCGCAGAGCCCCATTCTCCTTCTGAAGCATGGCATTCTCCCGAAACAGGTCACTGTAGCCCTCAGCACCGTCTTCCCCAATCACCCGCTTGCCCTGGGATGGAGACAGGCAGGAAGCAGTCAGGAGCTAAATCTCATGGGAGGGGTACAGTGGCAATCCTCTTCCACCCGTCCTGAGCCTTTCCCAGGGCAGAGTGGCATTTCTTATAATCTCACTGTCTAGAACTCTGAAGGTCACAAATTCAAGGCCAGCCTGGGCAAAGTGAGTCCCAGGCCAACCTGGACTACTTAACAAGACTCCTCTTTAGAAAAAAAAAAGCCTGGTGGTGGTGATACACACCTTTAATTCCAGCACTCAGGAGGCAGCTGCAGATGGATCTATGAGTTCAAGGCCAGCCTGGTCTACAGAAAGAGTTCCAGAACAGCTATGGCTACAGAATCAAACCCTGTCTTCAAAATGAACACACACACAGTTCTCTCTCTAACAGCTAGAAAGCTCAAATTCTCGATTTACCTTGCTATTGCTTGCTTTCATTCTCCAGGAATGCTAATCCAAGTGACAAAACCCTGCCAGGCAGTTGGCACATAAAGACAACAGGGAGTGGTGGGGACTGGGGTAGAGAAAAGTCACAGTCTAGGAGAGGCGGTCACTCTCTCGATATCTTTGCTCTCATGTTTACTGTCTACACTAAAGCTATAATCGGTAACTATGTACACTGTCACCAAGACACTGGGCTCACAGAGTTGTTGTATAAGTAAAAAGTCAAGCTAATGAATTTCACCCCTTTAAGTCCCCTCTATTTCTGCCCACGAATGTTACCATAATCTTTGCTTAGTCAAAGAAGAGGATTACTATAAGGGTAAAGCTTTAGCGGTATAGAATTTGCCACCTCTTCATTGCCTTGATTCTGTCTGTGTCCTGAGCTGCAAAGGAGGCCAGTGCCTCTTAACAGCTTACAGACAAGATACGATTGCAAATGCACAGTTTGTTTGTGCTTGAATTATGAAATTTCTTCATGTAAGAAACACCGCTCCTCACTCCAGCCAACTTAGTGCCAGCTGTTGGCAGAGACAAATTTTTCCACAGAAGTTGAAACTTCCTTCTTAGTTTTCAGAAAAGCTGTCAAACAAGTTGCATGCTTCTGAAACTAATTCCAAACCCACCTATCTATGTGACAGATCCAGACTAGGGGCCGCCAGCGGGTGATGTCAGCCTTGGCTACATAGAATTAGACACGCCCCCCAGAGCACCTGTTTTTCCCCTTTTCTGTTGTTTTTTTTATGGCTTACTCTCTACCCAGAATGCCTGCTGGCCTCCTCCTTCTGTTGATACGTCATTCTTTTAAATCTCCATAAAAGGCCCATTCCATAAAGCCCTTCTTGACAACCTGGGCAAGCAGGCTGCCGCTCTGCCCCTGCAGCACCCTGTGCCTTCATTGTCAATGACTCCACCATAGTGGGGTGGTCTCATTGATTCCAACACAGTATATTCAGTGGACATACAGCACCTGAGAAGGACCTTCCCTGAACGAAAGACCCATGCTACAACACCAAGGTGCTCTAACTCGTAGACTTTGTATTCTAAGTCTAGATGGCTCAGTCTGAGCTGGATTCGCCTTAAAACCCAGGACTAGGAACTATATCTGATGCACAATGATGTCTAGCAGACATGATGGGTGGGTGATGGGAAGGCGGGAGGCCAGCTTAGGACCTGGTTGTGGGATGCTACAGGGCAGGGTGTGGAGGGGGGACCAGCTCCTTCTAGGAGAGCCTGGGGGAGCCTGGGGGCGCTCACCGCTTTGTATTCCATCAGTTCCATCTGCAGGCGTGCAATCTCAGCTCGCAGCGCGCTAATCTGCTGGCTGGTCTTGTCCTGGTTCACCACCACCTTATTTTTGATGTTGCGAGCCCGGTTGGCATATTTGAGAGTGTTAAGTGTCTCCATGAAGTCCCGATCCGAGGGGCTCACACAGGCGATCATGATGGTCTGGCTAAGGGTGCAACCAGGCTGGGTGAGAACAAAGGACAAAGCCAGGCCCACAAGTACTGTTCCAGAGCAGAAGTTCTGTTTCACCCTGATCCCCTCCCCAGTTTAATGCTTAAAGGACCTGGAACCCGGGGTGTGGGACCCTGGACCACCTGGCCAAAGAGGAAAATCCTTGAAAGCAGCTAGCAAGGGTGATGACTAACTGTAGAATCCTCTGCTTGGCAAGGTAAATATGTCATGGCCTTTCTGTAGGCCTGACACTTGCCATTTCTTGTCTCTCTGGGCTATGTGGCTTCCTTTAGGAATGTCTCTCACTGTTGTGAAGTAATGAAACTGAGTCTACCTAGCCGCAAGTCACTGAACAAAGTGCCTGCCTCTGAGTCTGCAGCCTAGGCTGAGAAGGCCCCCTAGATCCTGGGAGTCAGGCCCTAAGCCCACATCAGTATTCTCCATCTAGGAAATTCCCACCCTTCCTCGACATGGGTCATCAGATACCTGTTGCCCCCCAGAGAGTCCTGGAGCAGCCGAGTGAGCTTGGAGTCCCTGTAGGGCACGTGCACCACCTTCTTGCTTTGGTCTCCCAAGGCGCTGATCACATTACCCAAGGCCAGCTGTGGGAGAGAGTGCCTGAGCTCGAGAGTCATACAGGGCGGACACAATCCCAAACATCTGTACCCGCTGCCTCCAGCAACACTCAGGCTCCTGGGTGGGTTTATACACTGGCATGGAAACTGAGGCCTGAGGGTGAAGGAAGACCCAACAGGAGTGAGGAGGAAGGAGGAGGAGGGGGAGGTAGAGGAGGAGGAGAAGGAGAAGAGGAAGAGGAGGAGAAGAAGAAAAGAAGAAGAAGAGGAAGAAGAAGGAGAAGGAGGAGGGGAGAAGGGGGAGGGGGAGGAGGAGAAGAAGGAGGAGGAGGAGGAGGAGGAGGAGGAGAAGGAGAAGAGCTAGAAGAAGTTCGAAGAAGCTCAAAGATGACTGGATAGCCATTGAAGTACACAGCCTGCTTGAGCCTGTGCCATCTGGCTCCGTGTGCCTACCAGACCACAGTTGATGGAGATGCCCTCCTTGGCCCGTTCGCCCGTGGCCCCTGTCCGCTTCAGCCGCTCGGAGCCAGCCAAATCCACAAAGTGAAACTTAGCAGTGAGAGTCTCATACTCAGTGCCAGTGGGGGCCGCTCCATCCGGAAGCCCAGTCACTGTCTCGTTCACCTGCAGCAGAATGTGACATCTGGCTCACCCAAGCCCTACTCCTGTTCCTCTGCTGGCCTTCCACCCCACAGCACCACCATCCGCAAGAGTGAGGGTAGGCTGCGCAGTACCAAGCCCGCATGCGTGCAGAGCACCTGAGATCAAACACTGTATTTGCACACACTATTGATGATCATTACTCCATTGCATAAATGGGTGAGAGGCTGAAGAGGAGGAAAAATTGAGTGGAAGAGGCAAGCCCCATCTCTGGAGTGCTAGCTTAGCCCAGTTAATCCATCCAGTCCCTGGGATACACCTAGAGCGTGTAGCTCCTGGGCCCCCAAGAGCACCTCACCAGGTCAGGCTGGGCACACACGCGCATCTGGCACAGGTGGATGGTGAAGATGGCATGGGACCGGGAGCTCTGAACGTTCATCTGGGTGCTGGCTGTGGTGCGTGACAGGGCGCCCTGCTTCAGGCACTGGATCAGCTGGGGACAGATGCAAAGGGAGGACTCAGGACCCACGTGCTGTAGGGCTCTGGCCTTTAAAGGTGCCCATGTATAAGGGTGCTCACCTCCTCCTGGGAGTTGATGAGACGAGACGTGACGCCTGTGGTGTAGATGCCACCGTTGGCATCCTCATGGATCTTGATGTTGGACCTGCGGTGGCGGGCATCAGGGTCACGGGTGCTATCAAATAGGTCAAGGATCTCTTCATTGTAGAGCTGTGATGGGGAGGAAATCATGGCTGGGCTCACATGGCCCATGCCTCCGAGCCCCAGGGGCTTTCTTGTGTTTATATACCATCTCAATTTGCTAAAGTGGAAACAAGCTCTGGAATTTAACTCACTGAACCCTGGTCCTCCTAGACAGTGCTAACCTGAGGCTCCCCATGCTGCTCTACTCCCCAAGGAACAGCATCCAGCAGCTCTCAGCTCCAGAGGGAGGCTGAGGCTAAGGACAGAGGGATGCAAGTCCTAGGGGTAAGGGATGGGGAAGACATGAGCCTGAATTGAGAGGATCTCATCATATCGTCAGTCTGGCAGAGATGGCACAAGGCTGTGATTTCAGATGAAGGAAGGCAAGGATCCAAGAGTCCAGGGAGATGGAAGCTCTGAGCACTGTGGTCCCTGAGGTAGACGTGATGACATCTTTGGATGGGGAAAGGATGGCTATGTGCCTTGCCCAATGCTCAGGAGCAGAGAGAGCAAGAAGGGGCACTGTGGGTCAGCCTTCTGTACCAGGTAGTCAGGTGTGGCCAGCCCATTCAGATGTCTCCTGAGGGGAGTGCTGTGATCGGAGCTGTGGGGAAAGGCTATGAGGTCAAAGGCCAGGGGCAGGAGCAGTCAGAGTGGGAGAAGGGCATTAGCCAATAGAGTCTGATAGAGCCAGAGAGCAGGGCACTGCAGCCCACGGACATCCGAGGCTTTGATGGCCTTAAAGGGCAAAAATATCCCACAGGAAGGGGAAGAGGAAACAGAAGGACAAGATGGTGGAGACGAGAGTGCCATGGTGTCTGTCTATCTTGTATTGGGTAGACACACTGCATCAGTTAACCCCTGGGGATTCACTCTCTGGCCTGATATTTACTAGTGTGTTCTTTGAAGTTCTCCATAGCAACAAGAAGAAAACAGAGAAAAAGCTCAATGATATACAGACAACAAGAAACACACACTCGTGTAAACAAACACCTATACATACATTCATACACACATGTGCACACTCGTGTACACACATGCATATTCATGAACACGTATGCAACCACACATGAGCACACATACATGCATATATACACAGATGGAACCCAAAGGACTAAAATACAGGTCCCTGCTGGGGAAAGCAGCAACCGTGGGTGCACAGGAAAGAGATACTGGGGCAGTATACAGGGACAAGTCTCAGCCCGGTCCATCCCTCCAAGGGCAAACGAAGTTCAGTTAAAGCCTCAAGGTTGGGAGAGGAGGGACAGGGTGGTTCTGAAGCCACCAAACACACCAGAGCAGGGTTTGTTGGTAGGGAAACTAGACGCTGAGAATCAGAACTGCCCAACCACATGTTTCAGAGGGGCCAGGTCGGGTTCCTATGAGAAATACCAAGGCGGATCACCTTCCTGGACCTTTCCCCTCATGAAGGTCATCTCCAGCTGGAATGACAGTCGACAGCACAGCCCAAATGTAAAAGAGCCCAGAGATGCCCTCATGCACTCCCCAAAGCTTGTGGCTTCACGGTTGAGGCTGATACCTCCCAAAACTGGAGGACTAGAAGGAAGGAAAGCCTCTGTCGGAGACCCTTCTGTACTGAGAGGCCACCGTGCATCTTAGTCCAAAAGATACAGGTAGGTGCTTGGAGGCAGAGGAAGGGCCTGGTGGGGCCAGAACACAGTGACAGACAGAGCAGGGCTCCCACCATGTTCCAGGTACAGGCTTCCATGCCAGACTCACTCATTCCTAGGAAGAGGTCAAACCCACTTTGCAGAAGTAGAGCAGAATGCTCACATGACCTGCCCTAGGGCAGGGCCAGAAACAGCCAGGGTCCATCTGAAGCAGAAAACACTTCAACTACCCCCAAGTGTTTCTCTAACCCTTGCTTAGATACTCCCAGCAGCAGGGAACTACCCTCTGTAGCTGCCTCCAGGGTTCCCTAGGCTCATTTCTCAGCATTGTTGGAGCCTCCAGCTTCCATGGCCTTAGGTTCCAACACAACTCCTTCCCGACCACCCTCCAAGGCCATAGTACCTCCAGGAATTGAGCGCTGACTTTGAAATCAGGCCCAGTGACGCCCTGCTCCCGTGCCCGCCGCTTGCGTTCCTCGATGCCCCTGAAGAGGTGTGCAATGGCCCTTGGGATGATGCCCTGCTCCTCTTCTGATGTCACTGTGTCAAAGCCGGTGCCCATAGTGTATGTCTTCCCAGCCCCTGTCTGCAAGGGCAAAGACAGAGAGCACATGGTGACCAGTGTCCTCTGGGGAACCAGCAAGCCTTGGCTTGGGCTCTTACCCATTACCTCCAGTCAAGTTGCCCCTTTTCAAACCCAGAGTCATACCCTACAGAATTCTCTGCTGAAAGCCCTGCCTCGGCTAACCAGCCATACACTCATAACTCAGACGCCAGACAAAATTGCACAACTGGGCCTTAACTGATTGCTCTCTGCTGGGCCTTTCCCCCCACTGGGTGGGGGGAGGGGAGACTGAGGTCGAAATGGCCACTGGTTGGGGCAGGGGTGGCTTACCTGTCCATAGGCCAGCACTGTGGCGTTATAGCCCTCAAAGCAGCCTTCGATGAGCTTGCTCACACAGGTTGAATAGATCTGCTCCTGCCAGGTGTCCAGGTCAAAGACAAAGTCATAGGTAAAGGCCTTGTCCTTCCCCAGCAGGACCTGGGGCTCCCCAGGGGTGACGGAGGTACAGATGTGACAGCCTTCAATCTTCTCCTTCGACAGCTGGGGTCTGATCCTGCACAGGGTGGAAAGAGCAGCTCGGTGAAGGCGACAGGCCCTCCTCTCGCATTACCAGCCATGTTTCTCCCAACCCCACAAGCCAGGAAAGGAAGCAAGGCTGGGAGCCCCAGGGAACACCTTCAGTAATGCATGAGTATCACCCAAACCAGCAGTTGCTAACATTGATTGAATGCTTGGTACTCTGAATGTATGTTTAGTATGTTCTATATAAATGAACTCATGTGTTTTTCATTGTGAACCAGCGAGGGATCTACTGATTTGCCTGATTGCCCATGGTACAACATTGGATCAGTCATTGAGACATTCTCAGCCTCTGTCTCAATGACTGACCCAAGGCTGTACAACAGAGAGTGAAGGGGCCAAACCTGGGTGAAGGCACCCCCTGCCTCCAGGGGCCTGGAAGTCAGTATCCCTCTTGCAAGATGACAGCTGGCCCATTCTGGAGAGATAAAGCTTAGGGACAAGGCTGGGGAGAGGGGGACAGGCCAGGTGGCTCCGTACAACTCTGGATCACATTCCTCTGGGCCAGAGTCAGGTTGGGAAGAAGGCCAGCACCTCTGCTGAGACCTGTGGAGGCTGCAAGGGTCTTCAGGGCAGCAGCCATCTCCAGAGGTGCTGGGGCCTAGTGGTACTCTTGGACACAAGTTCTGGTTCTTTCAGGAGTTGAGGGGCCAGACCAAACACAATCAGGGCAGCCTAGGTCAAGTGCAAAGTACCCTGTCAAGGCAATGAGAAGGGACACTGAGCCAGCTGCAGGGTGGGCCAACATCCCAAATTCTGGCTCAGGAGGGATCCCCATTTAGAGGGAGAGGTGGCACCAGTACTGAGCGGGGAGCTAGCCATTGGCAGAACTGTCTCCATCCAGCCTCCCCTCACTTCCTTTTCTAAGCTGCATCACCATGATGAGGTCCCCATGGCAACCAAGCCTGAGTCAGTAAGCATGCGCATGCAAGGACTGGCAGAAAGCACCCTTCAGATATCCTAGAGCAAGAGTGGGGGTAAGCTCTACTGCCATGGGTTCACCCAGCGGCCCTACCGACGGGCTGTACACTTACAATGAACTGCTTGTCAGGCCCCTCTCCCTATGCCAACATTTACCAGGAGAAGAAAGGAACAAGAGGGGCCAGGCCAGCACCCACTCACGGCCCAGAGGTGCCTAGCTACAGAGCCCAGGCCTCCAAGTCATCATCTTGTCCTTGTCCCAGTTGCCCCAACCACCAGGGACCCACTCAGAGCTATCAGCTGGGTAAGGAGCTCCCAAGCCTATGGCTGCTCTCCGCTGTGGATGAGTGGACTGGGGCGGGGCAGGTGTGGGAGGGGGGTCAGAGGGGAGTGGGCACTCAGGCAAGTCTCTACCCATATGTGGGAGTCTGGCTTTCCTCAGAAGTATTTTCTTTGAGGTATAAAAAGTCACTTTAGTGAGTGGCTCTCTCCAGAAAGAAATGGAAGCCCAAAGAAGTTCCCACCTTACATAACTGTTAAGAGCCATACCAAGATGAGAACCCAGCTGCCCAGCCTCTTACCTACTCACTGAAACTGGGTTCTGACAGAAAGGACAAAATTGATGCTTATATGTTCACTGCGGACCTCCAGACCAGAACCCCGCCTCCTCACCACTGCCCCCGACGTTAGGGCCAGCAGGCTCCGCCTACCTTGACTTCTACTTCTGCCCTAACCACGGTGACTGACACACACAGAGCTCACTGCCTGCAGGGCAAGGTCTATGAACTGACGCGTCTTAACTCTTGACCATACAACCCCAGGAGGTCATTACCGGTACCCTACGGACAGACAAGGAAACCCAATGGTGCCATTCCGACCAGACAGTGAGGAGCCATTCCAAGCCCAGGCAGGCTGAATTTACTAGCCCTTCCACAGTCCTGTAGTAGGGCTGGGAGAGTGGAGGGAAGCCTCAGACACCCCAGGAAAGCAGGGGCGGCTGTAGAGGGTGAGGCATGGCGTGGCATAGAAACGGGAGCTTTGGCTCCGTCCTGGGCCTGTGAAGCTAAGACCGGATGCTTCCTCCTAGGCACAGGGGTGCTCTTCGGTGAACTGAAGAAACATTGCGGGAGCCTTTGAGGACCCTCCAACCGTGTAGACAAGTATGAGTTCCGGAGATACCCTCCCTACCACGTGGCAGCCTGTGATGGGATTTCTGGATCCAGTTCAAATACCATTTAATTACTGAAGGCAGATGGCAATGCCGGCGATTGGAGAAGATTGAATCAACATCCCTGGAGACAGAGGGAGCAGGCCTGCGTCAGAGGCCTCCCAAGGTCTTCAGTAGCCAGCCGCCAGAGCATCCAAGGGCATGGCAAAGAAGAGTGGGGAGGAGAGCCGTCTGGGAGTGTGTACATAGGGTCAACGGGGGCTTTAGGTGCCAAGAGTTGTGGGGTCTCTCTGGGGTTCTATTTTTGGCCCAGCACATCTTGATATGAGGGATTCTGTATCAGAGAGCCATCTAGCCTCTTGCTAGCCTATTCAAAACATCAGGATGCAATTTGTGAGGTTCGCCCAGGGAAGTGTAATAAATAGGAGACAGGACATAGGCCCTGGGTGAGTCACTAATTCTCAGAACAACTGATCTGGAAGAGGGCAACTGTGTCAGTCTTATGGATAACAAGCGGCTGCAGGAGCAAGCAAAGAATGAAGATCTCACAGAGGCCTTCCCGCGTGTGGGTAGCGGACTAGCCAGCACCCACTACTCCCTTACCTTGGAGGTTTACAAACTAGGGTATCATCCCCACTTCCTAGCAGGAACCATGGCTCAGTCACTCAGGAAGAAGAAGGATGGCATTCAGCCTCTGCCCAGGCTGAAACCACAGGTGCTCCCCTACCTCCCTCGCGGCTTTCTTTCCCTAAACACTCCACCCCCACATTGCTAGAAACTTCCTCCCTCCTGCCACTGTCAGAGCTGGATAGAGCATGTGCACTCCAGCAGCACCAACCAGGGAACTGGGCTGCCCTGCCCTCAAGGGCACACGGTCCTGTGACAGCTGAGCTCATCTTCGGTGCCTGGTAGAGATTTTGAACCCTCAGCCCAATAGGCCAGAGACACGAGACTTTGTCCTGCCTCTACCCTCTCATGGTCTAAGCCTCAGCCTGCACTTGGATTATCTAGGTTTCTCAGTCTTAGCTTTTATTTTTTTTTTTAGATTTATTTGTTTATTATCTATATAGTGTTCTGCCTGAATGTATGCCCGTATGCCAGAGAGGGGACCTGATCTCATTCTGTATGTTTGTGAGCTACCATGTGGATGTGGGGAATTGAACTCAGGACCTCTGGAAGAGCAGTCAGTACTCTGAACCTTTGAGCCATCTCTCCAGCATCAGTTTTAGCTTTTTAAGAACTGCATCACCCTCCCCTCCAATAGCCTCTTCGATTGGTCCCACCCTGGATGATGTCACTTCTGCGGGTTGCTCTCAAAGTGGCAGTGATCTATGGAAGGAGAAGTTTCTCTTTATAGCTGGGGAGGAGGGGCACAGATGGCAATCACTCAAAGCTGAATTCTTCCCAGTGGCGTGGAAGGAGAGGTCGGGGGTCAATTGCCAGGTTCTTCCAAGTGTACCATGGTCCCTGTGAGCTACCAAGCAGGCCAGCACTAGCAAGAGGCAAGTGGGGGCATGCATCTTAAGCACAGAACATGAGAAGGCAAGAAAGACTCAGCTGATCAAGACGGACTATCTAGTGGTCTAGATATACCACGCCTAGGTATATTCCAGAAGGAATCAAAGACAGGAGACCACCATGTCAACACACCCATGTTTACTACAGATTTTTTCAGAATGGCCAAGTTGTGGGATGAGCCTAGGTGCTTATCAGGGCTTATCACTGGCTAAAGAAAATGTACATATATACAATGAAATACTATTCAGCCAGTAGGAAGAATGAAATCATGTCATTTGCAGAAAATGGACTAGAGAGCCTCTTACTAAGTTGGGCCAAGAAAACTCTAATCATGTTTTCTCTATAGATGTAGTACTTGAACTTAAAAATAAGACTTGAAGAGAAAAGAATGAGAGTCTAGCCGAATTCAGGAAGAAACTTCAAAGAATAAGAAGATTTCAAAGTACATGAGACAAATACATGAGAAAGGCATATTGAAACCCATCACTGTATGATTGGAATATATCCTAAAATAGAAAATTTGGGAGTGGAAAAATGCGACATTTAAAACAATTAAATTGGCATACTATGTATGACCTGCAGACCAGTTTCCTATTATCAATAAAGGCTCTCAGCCTAAAAATCCTGTGACATTTCTGCCAGGGACAGACAGTGTGAATCTCACAGCAGACCATCCCTCTATCCTTTTCTTCTCCCTGTAGAGAAGGAGGGCCCTGGGGCCCTCTCCGAAAGCCCTCCCACCCCCGCCGCCGCCCCGGAATCTCCCAGAACAGAGCCGGCCTATTCGCCATTTGGCAAATGGCAGGCAGGGCAGCCAAGGCTTTTCAGAGGCAGGATCTGGCACCGCGGCTGAGGTCGCCGTGCTTCCTCTGCTCAGAAACAAGCAGTGGCTGGCGTGATGTGGGCGACTGTCCCCACCCCCGCAGCGCTGAGCCGCAGCAGAGACTTAAAGGCGGGGACAAAGGCGGCGAGCTGGAGCCCAGGGCTGAGGGAAGAGCTGAGCTCAGCGGTTCCAGGGCTCTTCGGGAGCAGGACAGGGCGGAAGCAAAGGGCAGAGGACACGGCAGGGGAAAGGCCAGGGGATGCTGAGGGGCTGCCAAGGGCAAAACACACTCTCTGCAGAGGGTAATAACTGAGTGCATCCGGGCACATGTCTGGGACCCCACACCTAACCCCAAAGTTTAGAAGAAGAATCACCTCACGGCCTCTAATGACGTTATACAAAGTCAGCCAATGCCCCTCCTGGAAGCTCCGCCCAGTTATTGGGCTCCTAGAGGTTGGCTGGGCTTTGAAACTAGTCCCACCCACTCAGCTAGTGGCTAGGTATCCCCAGAGTTCCTAACCTACTCTCTCCCCAAGGCTTCAGC